ATAGATTATGGCTTAAGTACCCAAATGGATGATACAAATAGTTTATGTTTTCAACTTAATCTAGAAACACATCACACAGTAGGTTTCAAAAGTGTCACGTATTTGTGCACAAAGTGATGCCTGGAATTATCACACAGTCTTTACTAATAAGATGTTACCACAATGTGCACACCTACACTAATACATATGATAATGAGATACATTGAAGGGTATATTAAGTGAAAAAAAGGATCTCCTAGATGATAAACAGGTAAACCCACTTACTTTCTCCTTAATCTTGCCACCAATCTAATTCTTGCTCTTTGTTGGTTGGAACAAGTCATGTTTCTCATTGTTGTTCAAACTTCCTTGCTACTCTTCAAATATGGTAATGGTTTTCTTCCTAATTTGTGTCAAGATCTTGCAATGCATTATAGGGTAATAAACCATTGCCAAAACATGTCAACATTTCTCAAAATTTCAATCTACATATTCAACTGCATCTTCTTCCTGTTTTCTTTAATTTTTTTAGATAACTAAAAAGATCGGGAATCCCGATCATGGATATGGATGAAATTCAAATGGATGGTTAATTTGGATCCAAATCATGTAATTATCTGATTCACTTAATTATTATATTTCTTAATTATTTCATTCACATAATTATTACATTTCTTAACTATCTCGTTCATTTACCATTATGAAAAATAGCCTAATGAACTTTAAACAAAAATCATTGTTTCTAGAGACGGAACACAAGCTTTTTAAACGAGGGCGCCAAACCTAAATTTTATAAAATGTGTCATATAAACGAGTATAGTTTGCTTCAATGTAATAGACATGTATGTTTTAAAAAAAAAAAACCCAAAAAGACACTATCTAAAATTAGCGCTATAAACGAACCGAACAAACACGAACGGTAAACAAACGGAATTTGTATGTTCCTATTCACTCGTTAAGAAAATGTGCTTGTTCAAGTTCGTTAATATTCGTTCGTCAAGATAGATGCTCTTCTAAAGCGCAACTCATGGGTGATCTAAATCCCTTCTTACACTTCTCATCTTAACTCATATCCTCACACAAATTTTTGTGTGTGTGTGTATATATATATATATATATATATATATATGTGTGTGTGTGTGTGTGTGAATAATCGTGTGAGAAGGAGAGTTAACGTGAGAAGCGTAAGAAGGGTTCTTGACCATTGATCACTTAATCTAAAACTCACCAATGAATCATGTTTGATACGGGATTGATCTAGTGCATCTTGGTGTATCTCGTCTTAATCCAAGGGTGAAGATTCATTATTACGCTTCTCAACTTAACTCTGTTTCTCACTGGAACCCAACCATATATATATATATATATATATATATATAGAGAGAGAGAGAGAGAGGATCAAATGAGAATACTAACTATTTAAGAGAATACAAAAACGGCCAAAGTACGTGCAAAATCATATGATTTTACATGAACGGTCAAAAGAAGGTGTGTGAGCGACTTTAGCTGCGTCTTCAAGTCATGAGGCAAAGTCGTTTGAATCACATGTAATTGTGTACGTGATGTTAGTATAAAATCACATATATATGATTCGATAATTTTCTTATTCTCTTAAATATGTGTTGTTCTCATTTGTACCCGATTATATATATATATATATAAATATATATATGTGTGTGTGTGTGAGAGAGAGAGAGATTAATCATTTGAGAACCTACAAAATTGTGAGGACTTTTTCATCTAAAGCTAGGATTTATGGTGAATTACCATATATTTGTTTTACAACTAGGATTTTTTTGGCCTTTTTGAAAACAAAAAATGCATCTAAAATGTATCACATTATGAACTTAATACCTATGAAAGAAACACATTATGAAATAAATAAATGTTCATTCAATACATTAAATACTAACATTAGATGGAAAAAAAATCATGTGAAACGATATTTTAAAAATAAAAGTGCCTACGATTATCATAATGTATGAGGTTCTCATTTAAATATGATCATATAATATATATATATATATATATATAGACTTGGGATCATGTGAGACCTGTAAGACCAATTCTCAACCATTGGATTAGATCTACAATATGACAATCTGAACTTTCATAAATGTCACGAGACTTCTCAATAATCACAAAATTGTCACCGTGCAACTTTAAACTATTAGATCATTAGCTTATAAAGTTGATCAATGAACATAAATTGGTCTTACGGGTCTCACGAAAAACACTTGGTCTCACGTGAACCTAACCCAACCATATATATATATATATATATATATATATATATTACAACTCAAACAAAACAAAGCAAATGACAGTTTTTTTTTTGAACCGCAAGAAAGTCATTTATTCAGAACGAAATAAAAGACTAGCGAGGAGCTAGTTGTTAACAGAGTACACCGCCTAAACCGGATTACTAATCCACCTCTCCCAACTAAAAGATTTGCTACAATTCGCTCTACATCTAATCCAATCAAAAGCGGTGAATTGAATCTCGCTACAAACATCCTTATCAGATTTGCTTATTCCGTTGAACGCCTTGCGGTTTCTTTGAATCCAAATGCTCCAAAAGAAAGCAGCCACGATCACTTTACCAACCTTTCTTGTGTACTTGTCCCGTATCGTCGCAATCGCCGTCCACATGCTACAAGCAGAGGAAGCATTAACCGGCCACCAGTTCACCCACGAAGCCAAGTGCGCGTTGATAACCTTTGCCGTGGAGCATGTCGTAAAAACGTGGTCCAAGTTCTCCTCCGACACTAGGCACGTCGGACAATCTGCCGAGTTGAGAATCACTCCACGTTTCAAGAGGTTGTCCTTAGTAGCCAACCGATTGATAAGCGTACGCCATAAATGGATGTTAGCTTTACCGGGAACCCACTTAAGCCATTCCGTTTCCATATCTTCCATAGGGAGCAGGACACAATTGATCAATTTCCTGAGATATCTAACCGAGAAGCAATTATTTGACTCCAATAACCAAGACCATCCATTCCTATCTGGCGCTTCGATTAGGAGACTTTTGATGTTGACACCGATATCACCGAGGTCCTTTTCCACACCTTTAATATTGTTCCAGGCTGCTCCCCTACCCCTTCCCGCCAGGTTTTGAGGCGAGTTGCAATAACGCACCACCAAATTCCAGATTGCAGAGGGCTCCATACGTTCTCTCCACCACCATTTGGCCAGCATTGCGAGATTTAGAGCACGTAAGCTACCAAGCCCCAACCCACCACTTCTCTTGTCGCTCATAATCCGATCCCACGCCACCCAACATATTTTTTTTATATCTTCCGTTCCACCCCAAAAAAAAGGGCATCTTATGCCTTCGAGAATGTTAATCACCTTCTTGGGAGCCTTGAACATCGAGAAATAGTAAGTGCCCAAGCTGCCCAACACCGATTTACAAAGGCATAGTCTACCACCCAACGAAAGATGTCTCACTTTCCAAACCGAGAGGCGGGACTTGAACTTTTCGATGATGGGTTGCCAGCTTACTGCAGACGACATTTTTTTACCTCCTACTGGGAGCCCCAGGTATAAAAAAGGGATCGATTCCTCCTTGCACTTGATCCATCGGGCCATGCTTGTGATCTCATCCTTACCAACCGAGACGCCAGTGAGACGAATTTTGCTCATATTAATTTTGAGGCCGGAACAAACTTCAAAACATTTAAGTATACTTATCAGGTTTTTTGCGTTGTCAGCAGCCCATTCTCCAATAAAAATGGCATCATCCGCATATTGCAGAATAGACACCTCTTCCATCTGATTATCCAAATGAACCCCTTTGAAAAGCGCTTTCCTCTGCGCTTCTTTCATGATGACRTTAAGCCCCTCCGCCGCCAGAATAAAGAGGAAAGGAGCAAGGGGATCTCCTTGTCGAACGCCTCTGCCCATCTTGAATTCTTTTGAAGGGGAGCCATTAATTAGAACCGAAACTTTAGGCGTACAAATACATCCTCTCATCCACGCTCTCCATTTTTCACCAAATCCCATCTGCAAGAGGACATTATCAAGATAATTCCAATTAAGAGTATCAAAGGCTTTAGCAAAATCAACTTTGAAGATGAGCAGTTTTTTTCTAATTCGCTTGGCCCAAGCAATTAACTCGTTAACGATTACCGGACCATCGAGAATGCTACGCCCYTTRATAAAAGYCGTCTRYGAGTTACTCACCACCGAACCAATCACAYCTTTCAGCCTTTCCGCAAGGATTTTCGAGATCACTTTGCTTACACACCCAATTAAGTTTATTGGTCGATAATCCGCGAAGGACAGAGGATCCCTTGMTTTTGGCACAAGGGATATAAAGGAGGAATTGCTACCCGGGTTTATAATATTATTTCCTTCGAAGAACAAAACAGCTTCCGTAAAATCCTTACCCAGCAAGGTCCAGAATTTACGAATGAACTCAAAAGTAAAACCATCCGGACCTGGAGCCTTATTATTACCACAAGACCAAACCACACTTCTGATCTCGTCCGCCGAAAATGGAGCTTCAAGCCAAACCCTTTGAGAGTCCGAATTTTTTTAAAAAAACTGACTGCTAATTGTAGGCCTAATCGGGAAACGCTCCGTAAATTTGTTACTGAAGAAATCATGAGCATCATCCTTTATTTTTTCCGGACAAGAGGTCCAAGAACCATTTATATTCACACCATGAATCCGAGAGCTTTTACGTCTACTATTTAGTAGACCATAAAAAAAAGCTAGTATTCTCGTCACCAACCGCAATCCACCGAGATTTGGCCTTTTGCTTAAGATCTCTAACTTGATTGGCCACTAAATCATTTAATTGAGTCATGAGATTCGCTCTTTCATTCACCATATTCGGATCTAGCGCGCCCGTTTCCGCAAGAAGGTCGATCGCTACGATTTTCAGCTTGAGATTCTCGCAATCCGCTTTAACATCCCTGGAAACACCTTTTCTCCAATCTTTGATACATGACTTGAGGTAACGGTGCTTTCTGGACAGTCTCTATAGCTTCGAGAAAACTTCTAACTCCGGGCCAGACATATTCCAACTTTTTTCCACCACCTCTTGCAGGTCTTTGTCAGAAAGCCACGAATTGAAAAATTTGAACGGGATAGGCCCACCATCGATACTTCTAGAGTCCAAAATAATAGGGCAATGATCCGAAAAGATTCTAGGGAGAGCTAGAGCATTTGACATAGGCAACAAGTTAACAAATTCCGCGCTAACCAGGAAACGATCCAGCTTGCTTAGCTTAGAATAATCTCTGCTCATCCAAGTAAACTTACGCCCACCAAGACGAATATCTATAAGACCTGCAGAAGCAATAAAATCATTAAAGAATCTTGCTCCAATAGGATCAAAATTCGAACCTTTTCGTTCCTCAGCCGCCCGAACTTCATTGAAGTCCCCACAAATTACCCAAGCTAAACGAGGAGCCTTTCTTATCGTTCCCAACAGCTCCTCCCAGAGAAGCTTTTTGTTTTGAAAGTCATGTGGCGCATAAACATTTATCACCCCAAGATCAACCTGTGAACTAAGCCACTTTCCAACGACCACAATAAACCTATCTTTCTTCTCCACATCTAAAGCTTGGAACATAGAATCATTCCAAATCGTAAGAAGACCGGACGACCTGCCAACCGGATCAATAGATGCGAACTTAAAATGATTTCCGCCCCACACCGAAGCAACTTGCCACTCATGCTGAACAACCATTTTCGATTCTTGCAGACAAAGAAAACTAATCTTGTGATCTCGCCCCACACTTTTTACCCAATTCCTTTTCGACTCCTTCCCCATCCCATTCAAATTCCAGGACAGGATTTTTAACATAAAATCTCTCCCTCTCCATTGCCGAGTATGTCATCCAGGATTTCTAAATTATTATCCATCTCAATACCAATTTCTTTACCAACTCTAACCAAATTATTAATATCCAGAAATCGGCTACTATCTGAAGGTGGAAGAGAATCAGACTTACCTGGCGAGACCGCAGCAGCTCGGATTCGATGATTGGAGTTTCTGATCAAAAGTTCAGAATCTGAAGGTTCATGCTGATTTCGGTCACACACAAAACTATCTCCTACCGTCCCTCCTATTGCTGCATCATGCTTGCAGGAAAGTCCCCTTTTCCTCCGATAGCAGTTGCAAGGGCTTTTGACCTTTTTCATTTTCTTTTTACGCCTATTCCGTTTAACCACAGCATCGATTTTGGGATGAAGAAACCATTCCTCAAACGGTTCATTTCTCGATAGATCCAAGCCATCTCCTTCCACTTCACTTCCTTCCTCGGCAACGAAGTCGCGATCAGCCTCCACAAGAGGCGTACCCTTTAGAGAGACCGATCTGGGCCCATCTTTAGGAGAAGAGAATATTTGATGGCAAGGAGGCCCAAAACCTGATTTTAAATCAACACTAGGCCCATCTGTGGGGGGGGGGTTAGATTTCTATGGCCCAACAAAAATAATTCACCATCCTGATTAGAGCACCCAGAAACATCAAAAGTCTCCTTGAAAGCCGCACCCTTATCACAATTTGACTCCAATTCACGAAGGTCCCCATCAAAAAAGTCACCGTTATCCTTCCTCGACATCTGGTCCTGCAATAACACTTCCCTAGCATGCGGCCGACCTGGAGACCTTTCAGCTTCACTCCTGATCGCTGACAACGAATCTGGAACTCCATCCACCGGCGAATTCCATTTCGACGAGTTAAAGGCAATAGACGGCGATCCACCGCCAGTTCCTATTACCGATTTTTGATCCTCACTATCACTGAGAAAGCTAGTTACCGATCCTGCTTCTAGAATTTCGCCCACTCCGATCCGTCCCATAATTTTTCAATAACTCTGATCTTATAATTGAACCTTCCGATGACAACCTCACCGTGTCCCTTATCCATCCCATCGACTCCGTTAGGACATCCACGAATCCGTGAGTCCTACAGAGGTCCATCTCACCTAGTCTCTCAAAATTCACGACATTTCTCCAAAGGCTCCCGACTTTACATAAGGACCCAGAATCCCAAGCCTGAATCGGAAGACCCTGAATTTCAAGTCTAGAAATACGATTTACCACCTGAAACTCCGCATTCCAGCTTCGCAAGTAAACAAACAAGTCTTTCCAGGTAGCTGAAGCCTTATCGCAGAAACCTCGTGCGCAATCACTAGAGGCAAACTCCAACATCACGGATAAACCCCCCAGATAACTAACTCGAATACCATCCCAGCCTTCCGACTTCGACAGAGAACCAATCATCTTGAGGGATTCAAAACTTTTCAATTCCCTGATTAGGACGGACTCCAACCTGGTCAAAATATCTTCCGACGGGAACAGCTCTAAGGTTTCCTTTTTCGTAACTACATCCTCGACATCCAACTCATTCTGAGATGGCTCTATGCCACGACCATCCCCGCTTACTGCTTCCGCAAACGATTTGTCCCCCCTAATGAACCGAACCTTCGAGGTCGAGTGCGCCGCAGATGGCCCGACAGGGACTTTTGCTGTCGCCTTTGCTCCATTTTTCCTACTGAACCGAGCGAGATTGGCCCTAATCTTGTAAGAGCCTAACCACATCTTGTTGAGGTTCTCTTCCATCCTCCTCCAATCTTCAACCTTGATAAACCTCACAAAACTGAACCGCTTACCCTGATCGTTCCTTTTTCTGGCCACGTACAAATCTACCAACAACCCATGCTTTTTGAATTCTCGCCATAAACTTTGCTCCGAGACCTTCTCTGGGAAATTTGTGAAGACGAAAGTTGTTGCTGTACCTTTCACGGAGTCGCTTCCTAGAGGAGAGAAACCCATTGGGACCAGCAAATTAATGAATACGAATAATGGAGCGAGTAAGGGAGAGGGTCCAACTCAAACAATTCTTTTTTTATCATATGTAAACACTAGAAACATAATTAAGTGAGGAAAAAGCAGAGGGGCCATGGCCCCTGCAAGCCCCTAAGGCCATCCACCGCTGATTCTTTCACCTTTTAATTCTCTTTATTCATCTATTAAATTGATTTGTTTAAATTTCTTTAATTTTTTCATCCACTTTTAGTTTCGTATGTGAACTTGGGTAAAAAAATTTGGAACTACCAAAGTTCCTACATAAAACAACATTACCAATTTCAAACAAAAACCATTATTTCACATATAAACTCTGTTTAAATTAATTTAATTATCATATTCATTTTCAAGTTTCACCTATGAACTTTGGTAAAGCCTTTTGGAACAACCAAAATTCATACACGAACCGAAATGAATTTAATTCAAAAAATAATTGAATTTGAGAGATAAATGAAATTAAAACCGAATTTAAGATGACTTACAGTGAAAGAAGTCTGAGAGAAAGAAGTGTCTGGAATGGAAGAGACGAAGGTACCAAACTTAAGCATAGACCTGACAGTGACACTATTTTCCTAATCATAGGAAAATCATACACCAATCTTAATCTTGGCGGGAATCTGAGCATCGATGATCTCAGAGGCTTTGACAGAGACTTTACACCATCCTTCAATGGTAGCCTTTTCAGCCTTGAGTTCAGCAATAGCTTGCTCACGCTCAGCTCTAGCATGTTCGCGCTTGATAGTGATGGTCTGGTTTATAATGACCTGATCTTTAAGATCTTCTTTGATCTTAGTCAACTCCTTGATCTTAGAATGACAAATCTTCAACTGTTCTTGAAGATCAAGATTAAGCATTTCTGCTTTAGATTTGCCATTCAGGGCATTGTAATGGTCAACCGTCAACGTATATAACGCTGATAGGCTAGAAGAAGAAAAAGAGGGTTCATTCAAGAAACATACTTGAGCAAGAGAGGATGATGAGGGATCATTGGAGGTTGATGTCTTATAAGTTTCTTCCTTGACATCATTGGCCATTAAGCAGAGGTAGACCGTATCTTCCTCATTTGAGGATGATACGTCAGATGAATCAACCCAATCATGTTCTTCAGTGACAATACCTTTACCCTTTCGCTGAGAACTCTTCATCTTCTTGTACTTCTCCTTCAGCTTCAAATATTTATCGTCTTTGGCTTTGAAGGAGGATGGGGTTTTTGAAGATGGTATCGCAGTCTTCTTTGACCTGCATTTACTCGTAAAGTAACCTTTGCGTTGACAGTTGTAGCAGATCGTTGAAGTCTTGTCAATAAAATATGAATTTGGCTTATCCTTAATGGTCAGCGAGGGAGATCTGCGGAAGTTACTTTTTCTGGAAAATCTTCTACAAGACTTAGTTAGAAGAGCCAGTGACTCATCAACGTCTGCAAGATCAGACTCAGACAAATCCTCAGATTTAGTGGAATCTAACTCCGTTAAAGAAACAAAAGAAGAAAGAGGAATAAAAGAAGAAGATGGAAGTTTAACTGAAAAATCTTCAGAGATTAAAGCTAACGGAGAGCTTTTCATATCTTTGGAATCTTTAATGAGATTCCTCTTCAGTTGTCGAGACTGCTCGTGATTGAGAAGTATCACATAAAGAGAGCTTAAAGAGAGGCAGTGTGATAACTGAATTCTAGTTATCACCTGAGGTAATAAATACATGATTATCTGATTAAATAATTTCGTGATAGCATGATAAATTGATATATTTGATCATGCTAGTATATGAAAATGTGCATAATGTAGATGCATGAATGAGATTATGTGTATATGTGGATGCATATGTATGTATGATATATATATATATATATATATGTGTGTGTGTGTGTGTGATATGCATGCATGTATGTGCATGTGTGCATGAGTGTGTATATATATATATATATATATATATATGGTTATTTGATGGTAGAAAAAGATGCATGCATGTATGTAGGAGGGCGGTTCAACCGCCCTACTTCTTTTGGAAAGTATATAAGGAGGGTTTTAGGCCTCCATCACTTTCTTCTTACTATTTTTAGAAAGTGAGTGTGCAATTTAAGAAGAAGAAATGTTGACCGAACTTTAAGCTAAGCTTTTAAAAAGACTGTTTTGCGAAAGGCTTTCAAGGTGAGTGGTTTAATCTGTTTCTAAAAACTCTTCATAGTTGTATAATTGGTTGTGTAGACTTTTTATTTGATTTAAAAGTTAACCTTTGTAATGTTGTCCGGATTAGACTTAAACTGGCCAAGAGTCAGGCGGTTTAGTCATAAACCGGGCAAGGATTGGGCGATTTAAGCCCTAAACCGGATAAGGCATGAGCGATTTATAAATAAACCGCTTGGTGAGTATTGTCCGGATTAGACTTAAACAGGTTAAGAGTCAAGCGATTTTGTCTTAAACCGGACAAGTGTTGAGCGATTTACAAATATTGAGTATGTTAAATATTTTGAGCGGAGAAGTATGAATACGACCATGCGTTGACCGAATTATTTTAAATCGGACAGGCCTTGGGCGATGTGTTGTCCGGATTTATTATCCGGACAAAGGTGTTGAAATTCTCTTAAGTGTTAAATTGGCAGGCCTTGGGCGATGTATTGTCCGGATTTGGTAAATCGGCCAAGACTTGACCGGAGATGAAGTCCGGCCAAGTCTATGTTGACCGGATTTGCATTATGATTTGTGCATAGTTTATATATATAATTGTTTTTATATATATAAAATGGGAATTTTGATAAAAATGGTTTTGAACTGATAATTCTATTGACTGCGGTCTAAATGGAATTGTTTTGTGAAATATTTTGATGAAGAAATAAGAGTGGCATATCAAGGAGAGGTGTACCATGGGATAAGGGTGACATATCAAGGGATGTGTACCATAGGATAAGGGTGACATATCAAGGAGAGGTGTACATTTGGATATAAGGGTGGCAATTGTATGTGTATGTTATATAATATAACTCTTACTATCATATCCCTTAAGATTACTGTGGTCTGGAATCTTTATTTCTTTGTGATTTAAAGATTTAGGATCAAGGTTCTTATTGGAAATCATAGTCTGAATGTTATAGAGAAGGGGATAACAAGTTTGGCCTGAAACTTTGTATAAACCTTATTTGAATAGAAAAATGTTTAAAAGTGGCACTATGTTAATTTGATTAATATAAACCTGTTTAGAGTTGATGTATTATTTGCAAGCAAAGATTATTGGCCTGAAAGGTGAAAGGTATTGATATTGTGTTCTCACTTGTTCATATATTTGATATATATATATATATATATATATATGAAAAGTTGTTTTATTTAAAAGTTTTGGTGATTATCACCCTACAATGTCATAAATAGGGTAACTCACTAGACCTTTCTGTCTAACCCTCGTTTTGTGATTTTAAATATATATTGCAGGAAGTGCTGACGGTAAGGGGAAGGGAAAAATGTAATATTTTCCCTATATGATTATCTGTGTGAAGATTTATTGTCAGCTTGTATAGTTTGATATATGTAATTGGGTTAGTGCAAGAATTGTATTTTGAATTTTTGGACCATGTATTCTATACTGGTAATTTCTTGTATTAAGGGACCTATGCGGTGTATATATATGTATTTCTATGTATGAAGTATATGTTACATGCAATGTGTGGTATGAGGTGTTACAGAGAGGACACATTGTTGGACATCTTGAGATACATAAAGTATGTATCCTAGGATTCTGGTAAACATTCCAGAAAATTCGTCAAAGTTTCAGAGTCGGAATATTCTCTGCCAACCGTCCTCAAATCAATTAGAAGACAATTAAATCTTTGATGTACTTCAGACAACGTTTCATTCTTTTCACATAGAAAGCTTTCATATTGTCTTACTAGATTAATCTTTCTCGATTCTTGTACTTGGGAAGTACCTTCATATTGAACACAAAGAGTGTCCCACATTGATTTCGAGGTCCTAAGCTTCATCACAGAGTGATAGACCTCGTCAGGAAGAGACATGACTATTATAGATATCGCTCGAGTATCTATAGCCATCTTTTTCTTGTCTTCATCACTCCACTGATGAGGGAGCTTAGTAATCTGCCGTTCAGAAATCGCGACAATCGTAGCTGTTTCAGGATCAGCCGGAGATATAACATATGGAACATAAGGTCCATTCTCTATATAATGTGGGATCTTAGGATCCACACCTTCCAACAAAAGAGACATCCGATTTTTCCAGAGACTAAAGTTGTCTCTTATAAATCGGGGAGGTTTGACAAGTGAGCCATTATCGTGAAAGTTTGTGCTTGTGTTTTGTAAAGCCATTTGAAAATCAATAAATTATCTAGAGAAAGTAGAGATAATAAAATGCAGGTAAACAACTAAACAAGACGAGAAGAAAACACTACTCTGATACCATTTGTTGGTCCTAGTCGGGTCTACGAGAGTTTTAGAGGAATAGTTTATAGAAGGGGGGGGTGAATATAAACACAAAAAACTTTTGTATTTAAAAAATATATATATTGATAAAGAAGGATCAATACAGATTTTTTGCAGATTGTTTGCGGAAATAGAAAAGGTAAAGATAACCTATCTAAAACAAATTAAGATTACACACAAATATACTTAGCAAATAGAAAAGATTTGCTGAAAAGATAAAGATAGAAAGATGTTCTTCTTGGGTAAGAACTTTAGAATTCTTGAGAGATATTCTAACTTGCTTGAAGATAAGCGTATGTGTTCTTTCGATAGATGTGTGATCTCACTTGCATGAAGAGAGCACTTAGTTATTTATACTCATTGCATTAAATGCAAATCAGAGGGTTGGAACACACGTCAAGCTTTAAGAGGAAAACTTGTCTTTTGCAACAGTGAATAATACATATGTCTATTCATGAGCAGACATCCTTCGTGGAGTTGGTCGGCATTAGAGTCGACTAGTCGGCTCCGTGCAATACTATACTTTTGAAAGGGTATGGGTTTGTCCTTTGTGTATGGAAGGACAAGATAAAAACAATTGTGCATGACAAGCTTCATTTGATCGCTGAATGCTGGAATAACGCTGGAGGTCTCTTCAACATTCACTGAGGCTTGTGTAGTCTTTACACATATTTTGACGAGGTTGTAATCATTGAATACCGCTTCAGATCACGAACGCGCCAGTCACTAATCTTCAGTTTCGGTTTTCAACAATTACAGAAGGTTCTTTGGTGTGAGTTTTGTCTTCTTGAAGTATCGTTGTCGCTGTATGATTACAATGCGTGTTTCAGTGATCACTGAACAAATTCAGTAATGATCGTTGGAACTGAAAAGACAGAAACAATAATACTTCGAAAGGTAAAAGAGATTGTCATCAAATCAATGATAGAGAGGATCAACACCAACTCAAACAATTCTTGTTTTTATTATTATATATAAACACTAAAAACCTACTTAAGTGAGGAAAAAACACAGGATCATGGCCCCTCCAAGCCCCTAATGCCATCCACCACTGATTGTTTCACCTTTTAATTTTCTTGATTCACCTATTAACTTTGTTTAAATTTCCTTAATTTTTTCGTCCATTTTCTGGTTTCGTATGTGAATTTCAGTTCATAGATAAAACAACATTACAAATTTTAAACAAAAACCATTGTTTCACGTATGAACTCTGTTTAAATTAAATTTAATTATCATATTCATTTTCAAGTTTCACCTATAAACTTTGGTAAAGCCTCGTACACGAACCAAAATGAATTTAATTTAAAAAATAATTGAATTTGAGAGATAAATGAAATTAAAATCGAATTGAAGGGATAAAGGAAATAAATTTGATTCCAAAAATAACATAATTTATCTTACAATAATAAATCGCAATTTGTTTTAATATTGCCGTTCATTTAATTCCATTTTGTTCATTTTATTTTTCAATCAATTTATAACCTCAAATTTAATCATAATCATTGATAAAAAAATGACTCAAAAACTTAATATTAATTAATAAGTTACCAAATGAATATGTTTCCGCAAATTACAAGTTTACGTTGTTAATTGTAGTATTGAAAACATAAACTGTTCTCCAAGATAGAAATTGTTGTTAGGTTGCCATTTGCTTTCTTTTTCGATGTATAATACGATAATAGTTTGTATCAGTTTTATAGTTAAAACAAGATGCGTGGGTTCCATCGTCCAAAACCTTCTTTAAAATGAGTGACACTCATACAATCTGGCTTTGGAGTTCAATCTCGTTTTTCTGGACCTCTCACTTAGCACCTGATTTGTGTTTGAAGTTAGGGACTCGGTTCTCTTTTCTTCATCTTTTGACCTGTATTAGTTTGTGGCTTTCAGTTATGGAAATCCAACTGCCATCTGGTTTCTCTTACGATATCTTCGTAAGTTTCAGGGGTGACACCCGAAAAACCTTCACGGATCACCTCTGCAAGGCCTTGCRGAATGCCGGATTCCGCACTTTCAGAGACGAGGATGACATCCAGATAGGTCACCAGATCAAACCTCAACTTGAAAGAGCCATCGATCGGTCCACTATTGCAATTATTGTTTTCACCAAATCTTATGGTGATTCCAAATGGTGTCTTAACGAGCTCCTGAAGATTCTAGAACGGAAAAAGTTTGATRATCATTACATTGTTTTTCCAATCTTCTATCGTGTCCAACCCRAGACCATCCGAAAGCAGGAGGGGAGCTTTTYGAAAGCCTTTGAGGGATACAGGAAAACCGGTGAATACTCTGAGGAGAAGATTGATCAATGGAGGAAAGCCTTGAAGGAAGTTTCCAACATAGCAGGAACGGTTTTGCCAGATAAATCTGATAGGTAAACTTCTTCTATACCCATTTCTTTTTTCCTTWTTTTAACTCGTATGTGTTACAAAAARTCTGTTACAAGGAGACGGAGATTCCTAACAGGTGATATATACAGCTGGGTTGGCTGGTGGCTAGCTGCGTACGTGGAACTCCAACATGCCCCCTCAAACAGAGGTTAGGCTAGATTGGGTGTAGTCCCGAGTGTCGAGCCCCTAAAGTGTTGGAATTCGATTCTGATACCATGTTGTAACATGTGTAAAATCCATGATTTTCTTTCTAAAATAACCCTTTGAAAGAGAGAGGAGATTTCTACATATATATATATAYACTGGTAGCTAGGTTGCTCGTGACTAACCAACCAACGGGAACTCCTAACAGTATGTATTCCGAACCTTCTTTATATATGTACTCGGCTCCTCTTCTTGTACATTATGATCTTGATTTGGTTGTGTGTGTTAACATTTTTTTCGGATGTGCTATTCAATATCTAATTGGGCTGAATTTGTAACATTAGCGTCTTAATGATTATCGAGGATCGTTTAAGCATTTTTAGTTTAGATAGGGCATTATAGTCTTCGTTTCTCCCAAAAAAAAATATTATTCTTGTTGTTATTTGATGTAAATTAATTTATAGTATCAAGCAATTGTGAGTCCTAGCTAGAATTTTAAAGGTAAGTTTATATGAAGTTTTTCGGTGTCTTAACAATTGTGTTTGGACAATTTTGAAATAAATCTTCGTCATATTCATTCTTTTACGTTATATTATTTGAAAAAGTTTTTTTATAAAGACAAGTGTTACACTACTAAGCAGAAGACTTTTTCTGGCGGATTTTGCCGCCCCTAAATCACCAACGAATTACCGGGGGAAATGCAAAAAGTCAACTTTCGTTTACTTCCCCCGCAAATCCGTCACTTAGTGACGGATTTTAGGCATCTAGTATCCTCCGGGAAAGGTAAATCCTCTGGTAATCACATTTCCGGCGAGGGTTGTTCAGTCTGGAAATCCGTAGGTAATCCACAGCCGATTTTTCCCGCATGAAAAGACCCAGTGTTTTGTAGTATTATATATAAATTTGTTCATATAACACTTCTTAGAGATATCTTATAAAAATCCTAATAAGACATTTTATTTCAAAAGTGTGTCAAACAACTTGTTAAAAAGCTCAAATGTGTCATATAAACTTATTGTAACACATTTGTATAAGACGCACTTTTTGGTCCTATATATAAACTTAAGTGAGTCTATTAAGATATTTAGACATTTTTCTGATTTTTTTTTATTAACCTGAATATCCAATCCGCTATGCGAGCCGACTAATCCCAGGACGACCACGTGCTTCGCAGATAGCCGGGAGTTACCGCATTTGAACATTTTTCTGATTTTTGCTCTGGTGTATTTTATAAAAACCGTTCATAAGACGTCGGACTCTAACCGAATAAAGCCCGTCCCATTTCGAAGACCATGGCAAAATGCTCCCGCGTGGTGCCTGGTCCCAATGGTAGTAAAAGATGTGGCTTTTATGGTGAGATTGACCTTTTTTCAATGATTCACATATAAATCTTCTCTTAACCTTGATTTCTTACGTTCTCGTGATATTTAATGTTTTTTATTTGAATTTGTAACATTTACATAATATTTTACCTATGCTATCATTATTGAACATGATTCTTTTTAGTTGTCAAGAGTTTGTGTTAATCCATTATCAACTTATTAAATGTAATTCAAAAGAAAGAAAAAAATGGAAAAATCCCATCCTTGATGGTGGTCTATTCTATTTTACCTCGAGACTTTTCTGGTACTTAGGACTCGTTGTTCACGCCATCTCTACCTACACATGCTCTATTTCTCAAGCAATGAATATTAGCCGATTTTAGTCAATCTTATTTCCTAATATGATAGCGTAGTATAAATTAGATATATCATTAATATATCATTACAGATAACTCGATATATATATATATATAGACTTGGGATCATGTGAGACCAGCCTGTTTTCGTGAGACCCGTGAGACCAACATTTTACACTTGAAACTTCACAGCAAAATGCTGTGAATGTGACTTTTTAAAACCTTCACAGTGTTTTTGCTGTGAAGGTTCGACTTTTTTTAAACCTTCACAGTGTTTTTGCTGTGAAGGTTACGTGTAAAAATGTGGTCTCACGCGTCTTACGAAAACAGGCTGGTCTCACGTGAACCCAACCCTATATATATATATATATATATATATATATATATAGTAACATAAGTTGTTTTAGGTTTATTTGCTGCTACTGATTTCTGATTTCCATCTGTTTCTTAGCAAGGACGATGATGAAATACTGTTCCTGTTTTTGTGTAAATTAAGAGTGAGGTCACATTGATGTGTTTCAATTTCTAGGTACGAATCCTCGTTTATCGAGGAAATCATTGAATCAGTAAAAACCATATTGAAACAAATGAGCTTAGATGTAGCTTCATGTAGAGTGGGCATTGGATCTCGAGTCAAACCAATTGATCAGTGGCTAAAAGATCCTGCAGATGTCAGCGTTGGAGTCATCAGTGGGATGCGAGGGGTGGGAAAATCTACCATCGCCAAAGTTGCTTACGACTTGAATTTTGGTAATTTTGAAGCTTGCAGCTTGCTTGATGTAAGAAAAGCTTTCAAACAAAAAGATGTTTTACTAGATTTACAAACTCAGCTTCGTTCAGACACTTCAGCAAAAGGAAAGCAGAAAGTAGTAGATGACAACCAAGGGTGTATACTGAAGATTCAGGATGCTAAATGCCAAAAAAGAATTCTATTGCTCCTTGACCATGTTGATCAGATTGAACAAGTCAACTTTTGGCTAAATGCTGGGAAATCGTTTGAGAAAGGCAGTAAAATCATGATAACTACATCTCATGAGCATCTAATAAGTCACCTACGACATAAGCCTTTTAAGATTAAGCAACTTGATGATCATGAATCTCTTCGGCTTTTCTGTTGTCACGCCTTTTCAAGATTCCATCCAACCGAAGGCTACTCAGAACTTTCAGAAAGAGTAGTACGACGCTGTGAAGGACGACCTTTAGCTCTTCAGCTTTTGGGTTCTTCTCTGTCTGGCAAGAACTCAGAGCTATGGGAAAGTGCTTTAGAGCAACTGGAAGCAAGCCCAGATGAACGAAACCGTAAAACATTAGAGGTGGGGTATAAGTTGTTGGATGATCATGACCAGCGATTATTTCTCACCATTGCTTCATCTTTTGTCGGAAAAGAGAAAGGTGAAGCCGTGAAAATGCTGGAAGAACGCAATTTCTACTCCAAGGTTGGTATGCAGAACCTCTTGGATAGGTCTCTCATAGGGGTTGATGAAGACAATAAGCTCATAATGCAACGTTTGGTTCTTGACATGGCAGAGGAAGTTATCCGTCAGGAAACTGTTGATGATCAACATGGAAAACATAATTCAACAAAAGCTAAAACTGTAAGATTCTACTTGTGCCTGCCTGCCATTGCAATGTTGATGTTCATGTGCACTATATACGCGTGTTGCTGTATATTATATATTACATATTACGTTGTTTTATCAGGTGAGAGATGCAAGTGAAGGAAAACGCAAGCGTCCAAGAGATTACGAAGATGAATCAATGCCACAGAACGTAGCGTCAAGTTCTTTTAAACGTTTGTGTCTCCGCTTTTTCTCCATGTTCAAGCCAAGTACTAGCTAAACGAAACTGTATAGAGAAAACACTGGTAAAAACTATGGAGATTGTGAAGGTGGTTTAACACCCTGAAGTATACATATAAATGAATAATGGGAAATTGTAGTAAAAACTATGATACTAATTTGACTATCAAATCATGTAAGTAAAACTAGATGTTAACTGCTACAAAATCATTCCAAACAAATCCCCAAATGTTAATTGATATATATGGAAGTTGATGTGGATGTGGATCGTAATGATCAACAGTAAAACAAGTAAAGCCCAACAGTAAATCAATGCTGACAATGTAGATGTAACAAGTGTAAAGAGAGAGAGAATGACACCCATAATTTCACTTGAAAATCCAAATGGGAAAAAATTACAAGGCCGAGAACTGATCGATGATTAGTTGATTACATGCTTGAAGAATAATGGTGAGTACAATATGTCACTATAAAACAGGAGGATTTTTCCGACAGAAAAATCTACGGGTATCATCAGCGGAATCATGCCGTCGTAAAAAGGCTCGTTGGTAATTCGTTTTATCGACGGATCCAATTCCCCGCTTGACTTTTTTTTCAATTTAATTAGAAAGTTTGTAATTATGACTTAATTTAATCGGTTGTTTAAATAACTTGCGGATTTGTCAATCGGTAATCGACCACTGATTTTAATTTAATTAATTTATTAAATAATAAAATAAAACTATCCTCCGGTATTTTTATTTCTTTTTAATAATTATTTGACAAATAGTTACGAATGAATTTTCTTACATTTGAATTTTATGAGTATATATATATATATATATATATATGTAAAAATAATGTTATTATAGGATAAATGTTCTATTGTTTAAAGGATATGATGATATAGATATAGATAAAAATATTAGAGATAGATTAGATCTGAAATATCTCTCAATATCTACTTGTAACTCATTCATATTTAAAGAATTTTTGATTGATGGTAATTACAAATTCATTCTCGGAATTTACTATTGTTCTATTTGCCTTTTCTTTTAACACGAGTTATCAACACGTAAGCTCAGAATTTACTATAATTAAACGGTTGTTTTGTTCGTTGTATACCTGTGTGCTCTTATTACGTTAGTTACAAATTCAAGTAATGCTCCGTTTTAAGACTTTAACTCAAATGTATATATAGTACAGATGTGTTGTTAATAACACAATTCCATAAAGTATGAATTAAGTAAAAATCGCTCTACAATATACGGATAACAAAAATTATTATATACTATTTTTTGTGCTTAATCGTATTGGAATTAGTAGTAGAATTGGATGACTTTAACAAATGTCTGTCTAGTGTTTGATACGATTAGGACCGAATATGACAAAAATAAACAAGTTGTTCATAAAATATATCATATAATAGTTATAATTAATACAAATAAACTAAATAATTAAAGTATTAATATCATCGTGATTTTGTTTGTTGTCCTTGGCCTTTCTGTCCATTAACAGGCTATACATGGATGGGCATAAATAACAGAAGAGAAATGGGGTAAAACAAAGAAGCGTGGATTCCATGGCATATGGCCGTCCAAGATATAGCTGTCAGCATAAGTTCATATTCCATGGCATACCCTTCATTTTAGTGGTATTAAACTTCGTCATCTAATTAATTATGGTTACATTTAGGACAAATTAAGGGTATTAACATTTGTCCAGCTGTAATAACTCAGTTAGGTAAGATTTGGTAGTTAGGCTGTAGTTATGTTTCTAGCTAATTTTCTCTATGGGTTTGTTGGTATTTTACTGATTCTTGGAATGAGAATAAATAGCTGATCAGAGTGTGCAATACATAATCCTATTCACCAATTATTGTTATGGACATCCTACACCCTTCCTCCTCTGCTACTTGTGCTTACCATATCTTTCTAAGCTTCAACTGTGCTGACATCCGAAAGAACTTCAAAGATCACCTCTACACAGCCTTCTGTAACGCTGGATTCCACACTTTCCGAGACGACCATGAAATCCAGAAACGCCAGCGAATCGACTCCATGATGTCGGTTATTGTTTTCTCCCGGGAATATGCTTCTTCTGAATGGTGTCTGGATGAGCTGGTTCGCATTCTTCAACGAAGAAACTCTGATGATCGTCATAGGGTTTTCCCTATCTTCTATAATGTGGAACCCACAGAGGTGGGATATCAGAAGGGGAGCTTTAAAGAATGTTTTGATAGATATGAGGAAAGTGGTGAGCATTCAAAGGAGAAGATTGATAAATGGAGAGAAGCCTTAGAGGAAGTTTCCAAATTGACGGGAAAAGTGTTACAAGATGAATATAATGGGTAAGCTTCTCTTATACCCATTTGTTTCTATTTTTTTTTACTGTGTTTCCCCTTCGTTTACTTATATGAACTAATTAATCATGTGTTGCATCTTAATCTATGACGATTGTGAGCCGACATTGACTCAGTTCGATATCGGGTTTTATGAATACCAATTACCACTTGCCAGTAGGGATGTAAAGTTAAGGGAAATAAATAAGTTAAGAGTTCATTCAGTATTTTTAATATTAGCATCATATTGATACCTTAGGATATTGAACTGTTTTATTATATAATCTCCTTATTAGTTTTCTTGTTGTGTACACTTGGATTAGGGTTGTGGTTATCTAAAGAAAGAGTTGTCATCTCCAAAGATATATACATAGCTGATTAGGTTAAGATCATGCATTCTTGTATTTATTTTGTGTTAGAGTTCAAATAAGGCGTGCACAAAAATCTATTAATTATATGATAAGGTTACCCTTCCTAATTAAACTTAAAAGCTCACTTTCAATAGTTAACAACCATATCATTAATCTTTGACTGGCATCTTAATAAATAAGTAATAGTTGCCAATTCTTATAGTTAGGCAAGTCAATATTCTTTAGTTAGGTAAGTTTGTTTTTCCTTTTGTGTCGTTAAGGTACACTATATATTTACCCTTGTTTCTTAATAAAGAGTATATTAAGGATTTTACAAAATATAACAACTTAGATGATTTTTGTCAACCAATTTCTGGGCATCATTATTTCTAAATCATATGAAATTTCCAAACCCTTTGTTCTAATAAACTTCTATATTGTCATCAAACCTTCTAATCAATTTTGTCATGGCATCTACCATGCCCACCAAAAACCATCACAACCTACTCCTAAAACCACATCCTTCCCTGCCTCCCAAACTTGGCATTGCCAATATAGACTTATTTTCGACAATCTTTTTGGCACCTAGTTTCCTACCATCGAGCTCGTTGCTCACTTTCCCACCACTCACACTGCTTGGATTGCACTTGTTATGAATTACCTATTTCAATAACTCTTATGGTCCATCTCCAAATTAAGGCACTCTTAGACACCCTCTACAAAACCAACCAACTTATCATAGAATACATGCAATCTATCAAATCTTATACCTATCTGCAAACCTGTTGTTCGTGTCATTTGTGCTTGTGACTCTCTTATTGCCTTTGATAAGCGTATTAGTCTTGAAATTGCTTCAAAAATCAGGCCCGGTCATCATCATTCCCTATTGCCAATTATATTGTCACCTATTTTCCAAATCAAAATTGTAGCTACGATCACAACACTACCAACTCTGGCCTCCTTCCTCCCAAACATGATGCAAAGGAAACACACACGAGATGTTAACATCGTAGAACCCCAAGAGCAGAATGTGTTTATTAGCAATAAAGTCAAAGAGAAAAGACAATAACTCTTTGGGTTTTAATAATAATAATAATGACATAATAAAAGCCGAAACACCTTAAGGGTGCTTATATAGAAGAAAACTAAAACCTTACAACACAAACAAGCATAGCGTAAAGCTCATGGGTCGAAAACAGAACAAGTCCAAAATAAAAAAAGAACGGGTAATTGCTAAAAATATTCTCTCRGCCCCTAAAGTTGTCATTACTACTCTTTCAAATCCCTCTTCCTCTTCATGGCTCGCGGATAGTGGTTTAAGGCACCATGCTTCCTCTTCATGGCTCGTGGATAGTGGTTTAAGGCACCATGCTTCCTCTTCATGGCTCATGGGTGGTTTAATGCACCATGTCTCAAATGATTTGGCAAACCTAGCTTAACATGGCCCTATGATGGCTCTGATGATCTCATGATTGGTGATTGTTCCTCTCTGCTTATTTTTCATATTGGTTATTTTCAATCTCTCTACTTCTCATCAATTATTTATTTTACCAATGTTGTATTTGTATCTTCCATCTATCGTTGACATTCTTTCTTATCCCCATTTTCCATGGCAAACAAATCCCTGTGAATCCTTACATACTTCATTATGTATTCATGATCGCTCAATGGGTCTCATTTTAAGGGCCGGCTAATAGAGGCATTCATATTGGTTATTCCTATCTCTCTACTTCTCATAAATTATTTAAATTTACAAATGTTGTATTTGTATTTTCCATCTACGGCAACATTTTTCTTATTCCCATTTTGCATGGAAAATAATGCCCTTGTTGAATCCTTACATACTTCATCATGTATTTATGATCACTCAATGGGTCTCACTCTCCTATAAGGGCCAGCTACTAGAGGCATTTATAAATGGAGCCCATTACCTCTTATTATCCATTCAAGCATCGTCATTCCTCATGACAATTAACATCATCTGGGCCACCCTTGTAACGATATATTAAAACTGTACAGAGTCAATTCTTGATGATATTTTATTTATTCATTATGTTTGCAATTCGTTCAATTAATAAAATTAAAAAACTACCATTTTCCCAATCTACACTTACTATACTTCAACTACTCCTTTAGAATTAATTCAAAAACTACTTTTTCCCAATGTACTCTTTACCAATTATATCTTGTTCTTCCCCTCAAACGAAAATCGGGAACCATTTTAACCTTTCAATGCTTATGAACTATTGTAGAAAAAGACGATCATCCTATTATTCAACAATTCTCTTATAATGGCGAGGAATATCTTGAAATTACTCATAATCTCCTAATAATAGTATCTATCATATAACCTCCACCCATACTCCTAAA